TTCAGTTTTCTGTTTCTTGAGATTGTGGTTTGAAATATGTTAGGCGCAAAAGGCCAGATCCCCCTGTGAAGTTCCAATTAAACAACTTCATTGCTAAAAGCCTACGCACAGGAATCTTCTAAAATAACAATGCAGCACCTGCTTAGAATTAGACAAGGGTCAATGGAATTCAAGGGAGGTTGGACTTACCATATTTTTCGGAGTATAAGACTCACCAGACTATAAGACGCACCTCCCTTTTTTGGTATAAAAACAAGAAAAAGAAATCTGCCTCTGCCTCCCAGCAATTTTGCCTCGTTGCAGCAAACAGCAAATAGCCTGCTTTACTTTCATTTTCGTTTTCAGCATAGCTTGATTAGCACAAGGAAAAAAAAAAATCTGCTCCCAGCAATTTACCTCCTTGCAGCAAGCAGCAGAGGCCCATGCAAAACAGCTGAGAGTCAGAAGGCCGATCCAACAGACGATCAACTTGTGCTAATTAGGCTGTGCTGAAGCTGAAATGGCCTGTTTCTTCTTGCTGCTTGCCACAAGGAGGTAAACTGTTGGGAGGCAGAGGCCAAAGGTTGGGGGCCTGTGGGCGGGCGGGGCTACATTCGTTGTATAAGACCCACCTAAATTTTCACCCCCTTTTAGGGGGGAAAAAGGTGCGTCTTATATTCTGAAAAATACGGTAATTCAGCTTGTGACCACATAGAGATTCTAGGCTAATCCCTCTCTTAACTCCGTCCCTAGGTTCTGCCATCCCTTTTCCTGCGAATCCTTGCGAAATGTCTTGTACTTCGCTTTGAAAGTTGGCCTACCAAACACCGTTAGAAATACTTTAATATATTTGTAATGCAATAGCTGGAAGGCAGAGAACTGTGTAAGCGGAGATATGCTTGCTATCTAGTATGTCCAGTCTTAAGAGTTGCTGAGCACAAGGGAAGCATTTATAGAAGAATTCGGTTCCCCTGCCTTGCCGTGCTGAACATAGAGCAGCAACAAACACTTGTAATTTGCACCATCAGCTTTTTTAACGGTCTGAGTTAATAGTCTTACTATTTTTAAAGTGGCAATAATGCTTATTTTCATTACAGTAAAATGAGAGGCTGCATCCGTTGAACGTTCTGTATTAGAGTGCTGTAAAAAAACAATATAATTTCATTTTTATTAGTGGTCAGCTCCTCTTCTAATACCTTTTTCACAGTTCATGTTTGTCTTTTCAGTTGTGAATCAGCCAACTCGACTGATTCGTGTATGACTTAAGAGCCATTGTAATGCACCGGAGACTGCTTTCGTTTTTTTGCTTTTGATTCTTTTAACTTCAATAAATGGTTTAGTATTACCTACAGTAGTGGCCAAAATTGTGGACACCTTTTGGGAAAAGTGTATTTTTGAGGTTTGTTGGCTAATAACCCCACTTTTGGGGGAGAGTTTCAAGATAATCCTATTCCGCTGCTGGAATGGCCTGGGAATAGCCCAGACCTTAACCCAATTGAAAATCTATGGAGCTGATTAAAGAAACTGGTTAGTCAGAAGCGACCCAGCAATAAAACCCAGTTAATAGAAGCCATCCTTCAATCTTGGTTTCACATTCGAACAGCTGCAGAACTAAAAGACTTGGTTCACTCCATGGGAAGACGTTGTAAGGCCGCAATTCATGCTAAAGGTTACCCAACGAAGTATTAACTGACGTGGGGATCATTTTTGTATATCTCGTTTTTTCTACGTGTTCCACTTTTCTTCTTTACACTGTACCTGCTCTTCTAATAGCAAATTGTTTCTAAAAGTTATTGCATTACGTTCTTCATTAAATTATCTTACTTACTTACTTACTTTATTTGATTTATATACCGCCCTACTCCCGAAGGACTCAGGGCGGTGAACAGCCAAACAGTAAAAATACATAGATACAAAATTTAAAAACAAAGTAAAATCGAATTAAACAATTTGGCCCAGACAGATTAAAACACCCCAATCATTTAAAAACCGATTAAAATTTGCATAATTAAAAAGAGGGAAAGGATTAGGCCAGGCCCGCCTGGTGGAATAAAAAGGTTTTAAGAGTGCGGCGGAAGGTGCGCAGATCCGGGATCCTCCGTATCTCCGGGGGGGAGCTCGTTCCAGATAGTAGGTGCCCCCACAGAGAAGGCTCTCCCCCTGGGGGCCACCAGTCGACATTGTTTGGCCGACGGCACCCGGAGGAGCCCCTCTCTATGAGAGCGTACCGGCCGGTGGGAGGCTATTGGTGGTAGTAGGCGGTCCTGTAGATAACCAGGTCCTAAGCCAATGGAAAGCCATCAGTCTTTCCATTGATATATCGTTTTATGGTACTACTCCCCCCCCAAAAGTGGTGTTATTAGCTTGTTTTAGAAAATACACTTTTCCCAAAAGGTTTCCACAATTTTGGCCACTACTGTATTTTTTATTTGTTTTGAAAAATCAGAAAGAAATTATGCATCAAACCTACAACCTTTATTGTCACAGTTGTTAGGTGACAATTAAGTGCAGTTGTTAGATTAGTAATCCGGTTGTTGCGTGAATCAGGCAGGCTTCCCCATTGACTTGGCTTGTCCGAAGGGCGCAAAAGGGGATCACATGATTCCCCTGGACGCTACAACCGTCATAAGTACCAGTCAGTTGCCAAGCACCTAATTTGGATCTTATGAATAATAGGGAGGCTGCAAATCGTGAAAAACCATTATAAGTCACTTTTCTCAGTGCTGTTGTAATTTCCGCCACTAAATGAACTGTTGTAAGGCGAGGATGCAGTGGCTCAGATGGTGAGCTTGTCGATCGAAAGGTCGGCAGTTCAGCGGTTTGAATCCCTAGTGCCGCGTAACAGGGTGAGTTCCCTGTTGGCTAAGATGCTGAGCTTGTCGATCGAAAGGTCGGCAGTTCAGCGGTTCGAATCCCTAGTGCCGCGTAACGGGATGAGCTCCCGTGACTTGTCCCAGCTTCTGCCAACCTAGCAGTTTGAAAGCACATAAAAAATGCAAGTAGAAAAATAGGGACCACCTTTGGTGGGAAGGGAACAGCGTTCTGTGCGCCTTTGGCGTTGAGTCATGCCGGCCACATGACCACGGAGACGTCTTCAGACAGCGCTGGCTCTTCGGCTTTGAAACGGAGATGAGCATCGCCCCCTAGAGTCGGGAACGACTAGCACATAGGTGCGGGGGGAACCTTTAAAGCGAGGACTACCTGTAGTAGGTAAATGGAAGATTTCCTGGAATTTCACCCTGGAAAGTATAAAAAATAATGCATTTTTTTTCACTGCAACGGAACCAAGAGTTGTGATTTAAGCTTCACTTGGAGCAAAATATCTTGAGGTTTTCTTGTGTAACCAGAAGAACCAGCGAGGTTAGATGTTACAAAGGCTCTCCGGCCACTGAGTAATAACATCAAAGGTTTTGTTGTCCTCTTTGGAATACTTTCCATTCTGAAGTCAATATTGGAGGTGTTGTGTTTCAAAACAACACAGGTTTTAACAGTATAAACATTTCGGGAACACAAGATGCTGTCCTTTTAATTTAATAAGAGAGTGCCACCTAGTTCCTTTAGGATATAATACACAAAGTTAATTCCAAACTTCCGAAGTATTAATAGTCCTTTGCCAACAAAGTACATTGATGTGAGGAAAACATTAAAATACCCCTTTTCCTCAAAAAAAGCTTGGTAGTGTGACTTTAGGGTCCCCCCTTTTTTCTTTTTCTTTTCTTTTTTATTTATTATATTATGTTATATTAATATATTAATATATTTATATTACTGTATTTTTCAGACTATAAGACGCACCTAAATTTACAGGAGGAAAATAAGAAAAAAATAGCTTTTGGCCTCCTCGCGTCAGATTTTCGCCCTCACAGGCCCCGAGAAGCACTCTGCAGTACTGGGCCTGTTTTTGGGCTCCCAACCCTCGATGCATCACATTTTTGCCCTCCCAGGCCCCCAGAAGCACTCTGCACCGCTCCGCAATGCCCGTTTTCACCGAAAACAGGCCGTTTTCACCAAAAACGTGCCTGGGTTTGATCTGCAGAGTGCTTCTGTGGGCCGGCGAGGGCAAAAGCGACACACGGAAGGTTCGGAAGGCCAAAAACGCCCATATTTGGTCTATAAGACGCACCTAAATTTTCACTCTCTTTTAGGGGGGAAAAAGGTGCGTCTTATATTCTGAAAAACACGGTATATTATACTTTTTTATTTTTTTTATTTTATTTTTTATTATATTATATTTTTATTTTCTATTTTTTATTTTATTTTCTGTTTTATTTTGTTTTATTTTATTTTTAATTTTTTTTATTCTATTTCATTTTATTTTACTTTACTTTCATATTTTATATTCTATTTTTTTATTTTGTTTTGTTTTCATATTTTATTTTTTATTTTGTTATTTCATTTTTTTATCTTCTTACTTCACTCCATTTTATTTGTATCTATATAAAATATAGCTACATCTAGATATACGGATATATAGGTAGTCCTCCACTTACAACAGTTCATTTAGTGACCATTCAGTGACAAGTTACAACAGCACTGTAACAGAGACTTACGACTTATCCCCTTTGGCGACCTTCTGATGAGCAAAGTCCACAGGGAAGCCAGATTCACTTAACAACCGAGTTACTAACTTAACAACTGCAGTGATTCACTTAACCACTGTGGCCAGGAAGGTCGCAAAAGGCCTGGGACGGAGCAACGGTCATAAATAAGAACCAGTCGCCAAGCGTCTGAATTTTGATCACATGATCATGGGGAGGCTGCAAATGTCCTTAACTGTGAAAAAAGGTGCTATTGTGACTTCGAACGGTCATTGTGAACTACTATAAGTCAAGGACTATCTGTATTATCATTTCAACATGCCTTCTCAACTTCCTGTGATAATGCCAAGGTGTTAAGTGATTTTACGCGCTTGCAATTTTAATTTTTATAAATGAGGACTAGCTGCATGTCAAGAAGATTTGAAAAGCGATAGGTTGAAACGGTAAAGGAATTAAAACGTTTTTCCCTTGTTTCTTTTGAAGCTGGACCGGTGATCTACCGAATGCTGACCTATCCTCCGACTCGAAGGCAGCTGATTGTGGGCTGTAGCTTACAGATGTTCCAACAGCTGGCAGGTATTAACACAGTCATGTATGTATCATTCAACTTTTTAAAGAGAATTCCGCCCTTTATTTTCGGTTTAAGAGACGGAAAACATCATTAAAATGGTTTTAACAATGCTAAAGTTCTAAAGCCACCTTTCGATATAATGCCTATATATGACTATTTACTTTCATTTTTTGGCTTTGCTCTGGGAACATTTTGGCTTCAACCTTTTCAATGATTTGTTCCAAATCGGTTGAAGGACTTTATAGTCAGCTGGGAAGGAAAACTGTCTGAACGTGAATGAGCACTAATGTTTCTAAATAAAAGCAACATATAATGTAAAGCCCAAGGCCAAGTGTGGCTTTTACCTTAACAAAAATGTTTTTTCCAGCTCTTTGCAGCAGAGTAGATTTGATTTACTGTATTTTTCGGACTATAAGTCGCACCTGACTATAAGATGCACCTAAATTTAGAAGAGAGAAAACAACAACAAAAGTTTTTAGCCTCTTTTTTTTTTCGGGCCTTTTTTTGGCCCGTTTTCGAGGCTTTTTTCAGCCTGTTTTTCCTGAAAAAACGGCCCAAAAAAGCCTAAAAAATGGACCGAACAAAAAGCCTCGAAAATGGGCCGAACAAAAAGCCTCAAAAATGGACCGAGAAAAGCCTAAAAAATGGGCCAGAAAAAGCTTCAAAAATGGGCCAGAAAAAGCCTCAAAAACAGGCTGAAATAAGCTCCAAAAATGGGCTGGAAAAAGGCCGAAAAAAGGTCCAAAAACGGGGTGTGCAGAGGCCAAAAAATGACGGGTGGGTGGCAATATTTGGTCTATAAGATGCACAGACATTTTCCAGAAGGAAGGAAGGAAGGAAAAGGAAGGAAGGAATGAAATAGGAATGACAGAGGAAGAAAGGAAATTGAGAAATGTTTGAGAAGAAGGAAGGAAGGAAATAGGAATGACAGGAAGGAAGGAAGGAAATAGGAATGACAGAGGAAGGAAGGAAGGAAGGAAGGAAGGAAGGAAGGAAGGAAGGAAGGAAGGAAGGAAGGAAGGAAGGAAGGAATTTGGCCTTCTAAAAGAAAAACAGCTTCCCTTGGACAGGCTGCAGATAAAACAGACTTTATCCTTGGGAAAAAATCTCACGGAATCAAACAGCTTGTATTCGATTCTGCCAGACAAATTCTTTTTTTTTTTTAATCGCTCTGACAAGATTTCAACTGAACTATGCTCCCTGTCTTTGTTCGGACCTAGGCTCCCTTAACAAGCAGGAGGCAGGAATTGGTCCTTATTGACATGACTGTGAATTACATTCATTCACAGTCAGCAAGATTTGTCCAAACAGTTTTTCAAAGGAATACTTATCAACACAGACCTTATCTTGCTTGGCAAGCTGCCACGTAACTTGTTTCCAACCGCAGTACAAGGCAAAACATGGCACAGAGTCTCTCGGAGTCACGGAACAAATGAATTGTTTCCTGCAAAAGCCCACTCCCTGTTTGCTCCTCTTTTGTTTCCTATGGGAGGAGCCAATCACCTCCAAGGTGTGGCTTTACTCCTGAGTCGACCCTGCTTTCTTAGTTGTTCTTGTCTTCTAGCAGCTCTGCTCATGCGCACACGGGAACGGGCTCCAGCTGTTCCTCTGCCTTGCTGCTGTCTAGCTCCCTCTCTGCCTCCGATGCAGAGCTCTCGTCCGAGCTTTCCCCAGCCCCCAGGACTGGCCCAAGTTCCTCCCCAACCTCCTCACTGTCCGACTCTGCTGCTGGCAGGCCACAACAGTCTTATCCCATTCGATCGTTCCCAAAGCCGTGTACGACAACAAAGTGGTTTCTCTCCCCCACGTCATTTTTGTTTCCCTATTAATAGATTTCAAATTGGATTTGATAGCATTAGTTATTACCAAGGCAACCGCGTGAAATCAAATGGGACCATGATTTCCTGACAGTCGGCTAAGGAGAAGAAGCTTTAATTATGAAAGAGCTTTAAAATATAAATGGCTATCAATCCCAGCCCAGGCTTTCACTGATATAAGGCATCTCCATGGTCATGTCATCAAAATTCAGAAGGCTTGGCAACTGGCATGTATTTATGACGGTTGTAGTGTCTGCAGGGGTCACGGGATCCCGTTTTGCGATCTTCTGACGCATGGGGAAGCCGGATTCACTGTTACTAACTTAACATCTACGGTGATTCGCTTAACAATGGCAAGCAAGGTCGTAAAACTGAATTTTCTAGTATTTACGCAACAACATTTTATATCAGTATATCTTCAGTGAAGTCAGTTCCATTATTAAATTATCAGTTATCAGTTATTGTATAATATGCCGTAATATTTCCTCTCATTTTTAGATCTTTTAGAGCCATTAAATTAATTTAAATTAAAACATATAAAGAATTATTGTAGGAAGTAGATAACGTCTAGTTTAATGAACAGAAGGACCAGGAGTGAAATGATAAAGGTAAAGGTTCCCCTCGCATATACGTGCTAGTCGTTCCCGACTCTAGGGGGCAGTGCTCATCTCCGTTTCAAAGCCGAAGAGCCAGCATTGTCTGAAGACATCTCCGTGGTCATGTGACCGGCATGACTCAACGCCAAAGGCGCATGGAATGCTGTTACCTTACCACCAAAGGTGGTCCCTATTTTTCTACTTGCCTTTTTGATGTGCTTTCGAACGGCTAGGTTGGCAGAAGCTGGGACAAGTCACGGGAGCTCACCCCATTACGCGGCACTAGGGATTCGAACCGCTGAACTGCCGACCTTTCGATCGACAAGCTCAGCGTCTTAGCCACTGAGCTACTGCGTCCCTATAGTGACATGATAGCAGTGTTCCAATATCTAAGGCAGGGGTGTCAAACTCAAGGCCCAGGGGCCGGATCCGTCCCATGGGGTGCTTAGATCTAGCCCACGGGGCCACCCTGGAAACAGCCAAGGACTGGCACACAGTGCCTCTGCAGGCAAAAAAGGAACTCGGGAAGGCTGCGTGCTGCCCTCTCGAGCTCCATTTTCGCTGGCAGAGGGTTGCAGGAGGCTGTCGTAGCCGAAACGGAGCTCGGGAGCCCGTTTTCGCTGGCAGAGTGCTCAGGCCACCACAGGCGCCCCCGACCCATGTGACATCGAGTTGGCCATACCTACCCTGGCCATGCCTATCCCAGCCCCCCCAAGGTCAAACACAACCCTGATGCAGCCCTCCATGAAATAGAGTTTGACACCCCTGATCTAAGGGGTGGCCACAAAGAAGAGGGGAGTCAACCTATTCTCCAAAGCACCAGACAAGATAAGATGCAGTGGATGGAAACCAACCAAGGAGAGAAGCAACCTAGAACTAAGAAATGTCCTGACTATGAGAACTATTAATTAGTGGAACGACTTGCCTCCAAAAGTTGTGGGTGCTTCATAATTAGAGGTTTTCATGAAGCGATTGGACAGCCATTTGTCTCTAATGGTGATGTTCTGTCCCCGTCTCACACACACACACAAACAGACAGCCGGGGGTTAAATAAACTGGCAGACAACCAATTCTTCCGATAAGACGCTTGGCAGCAACCCAGTAGCTGCGTGCCAAGAACTTTTACTCAATAAACAAAATACTCACAGTCAAGAATTGTCCAGTTCATAAAATAAATCCAAGGCCGATAATGTTGTTTCCAAAGATGTAATGTGACTCGATAGTAGTTAGTTTTGTCCGTCACAGAGTCTGAATGGCCACCTCACCCCCTTTTATACCCTGTGGGGTGTGGTCCAGTGACTCAGCCTAATCTCTGGCACGCCTTTTCTTCTGTTGCACGCGCTTATCTCTGCAACGCTGCCGAGGATCCAGCCAAGACTCATTACCCTCATCACTGTCCACCTGTGGCTACGTGGACGTGCTTGGCCCCGGCCCTATCTCTTGCCCTTTGGCGGACACCGAAGGCATTGCCAGAGAGGAGGGTCCTGGAGAGGGAGGCCTTGCCAACTTCTCTCCTTCACTCTTGGAGTCCTCTCCTGCCGATGACACAGGCTCAGGTAATGGAGCCACAACAGGTATAGGGCCGTGATGGCGAAGCTATGGCATGGGTGCCACAGGTGGCACACGGAGCCATATCATTGGGCACGCGAGCGTTGCCGTAGCTCAGCCCCAGCGCGCATGTGTGCACCGGCCATCTGATTTTTGGACCTTTCAGTCCTACCAGAAGTTGAGAAATGGGCTATTTCTGGCCTCTGGGGAAGTGGGGAAGGCTGTTTTTGCCTTCCCCAGGCTCCTAGAAAGCCTCTGGAGCCTGGGGAGAGTGAAAAACGGGCCTACCGGGCCCACTGTGCCATCATGTGCTAAAAGTGGGGGGGGCGCATGCGCAGGGATGGGGTGCATTGAATTATGGGTGTGGGCACACATGTGGGCGACCTCGCTGCGCTCCACCCGCTTTTGGCACGCGATGTCAAAAAGGTTAGCCATCACTGGTATAGGGTCTCTTGTTTGAGCAGAGGGTTGGACTAGAACAATGGGCACCAATTGGTGGTCCGTGGATCACTTGTGGTCCGTGAGAAAATTTGGGTGGTCCGCAGAAAAATTATTGGCGTTTTTTTATATTGCACTAAATCAGGGGTCCTCAAACTACGGTTCCTGGGCTGGATACTGTTCTGTCCCCGTCCCACACACGCACCCCCACGGACGGCCCGGAGTTAATAAGCCACACGACAAAATCTTTGAAGATAAAGCTGGCAGCAACCCAGTGGCTAGCTGCCAATTCAGACTTTACTCACACAAAACAAAGATTAGACTGCAAGCATTCCAATAAAGCAGGCAAAGTTTCCGGAATACAAGGATTAGTCCAAATGCAGTCCGACAAGGCAGGCAGAAGTCCAGTAACTTTGCTTTGGCAACTCTTTCTCATGGCGGCTGCTTAGCTCCAACAACTTCTTTCTGTTGGGGCCCTAAGGAGCCCGGGCGGGGAGGCGAGGAGTGGCTGGGAGGGGAGGAGTGGGTAGAGGCCGGCGTGGCGCCCCTCCACGTGAGTGACATTGACTTGGCCACGCCCATCCAGTCACATGACCACCTAGCCACGCCCACCCAGCCAGTC